CAGTCAACGGAAATCCCAGTGACAGATTTGAAAATCAAAATAAAATCCAGAAACACCAACAACAAACAACGGACAGAAACCAAGGGAATTTCCAGATTTTTGAAAGGCTAATTAATATTTAACCCTTCTTTTCTAAACCCGTATATCAGGATATTTATCAGGGGTGTACTACTCTCTCTTCCAATTTCCAGCTCTTTTTATTTGTATTTTTTTCTTTTCTTTTTCTTTCTTGAAAGTTTTAATATTTTTTCGGATTTTTCTTTCTCTCTTAAATATTTACTTTTTCTCTCTCTCTATATCTGTCTTTCTCCCTCTTCCTAAAATCTGATCAAGCCTCTTATATATATCACATCCCCAAACCATTTAATTCATTAATAAAACCACACTTTCTCCTACCAAAACCATTATCTTCTCACTCACCCCCACTACATTAAACTAATATATCAAACCAACCCATTACATCTTGTCCCCCATGCCTACCATAAACAATTACCGTATTTCCCTCCACTACATTTTGTCTTGTCCCCTATTTATATTAAACAACTATATCACCCACACCCCATTACCTTTTGTCCCCTATGCTTAACATAAAGAATTACAAAATGTACAATTCCTAAACTACCCCTCCGACCTTATTGCAAACGAACTTCAAACAAAGATGAACATGAATTAAATCTATTTTTAAACAACAAATCATGACAGATTCACATGATTAAACCAACGTACTCCCCGACTACAACTAAATTCTTTTTAGACAAATAACAAGATCGAACAAGAACCAATTATGAGCTTAAACTTGAATCTAACAATATTAACAATTTCTGAAAAATACATAAAATACATGAAACAAATTGAAGAAATAATTAATTAAATTTCAATTTGAATCTAACAAATATTAAACTAACAATTTCACATGAACAACTGAAAAATTAACAAAACAATGAACATGAACAAAACAAAAATCAAACATCTACCGATTTTAGATTCGAGAAATATCAAAACGAAATACGGAAAAAATAAAACTCAAAATCTACTAACCGGATCGAAACGATGAACAACGACTAACCAACGACGACCTCGGACTATGTAGGGACTGTTTTGATGACCCCCAACCAAAACTCGAATAGAAAACTCGACGTACCGGACCTCGACTCAACGAAAGACCCTCGAACTTTGACGAAACGAAGAAGATGAAGCAACAGCAGAAGCAGAAATGTGAAGCAGAAGCAGCTGGCCATGGCGAAGCAGTGGCAGCGGTCGCGAGCAGCAGTAGCAACGCTACTCAACTGGTGGCAGCGATGGAGACGACGATGCTCGTTTGGACGAAGACATGGTCGACGTCGGCAGCCATGAAAGCTTGAGCTTGAGCTTGTTCATGGCTGCTCGGAGACGAAGAAACATCGAAGGTGGTCGACGACGCGACGGACTGTGTGCGACTAGCTGGACGGAGCAGCAANTTAAATGCTAAAAATGCAGAAGATGCCTATTTTTTGTAATTTTCAATTTTTGTAAAACAAACTTAATTACTAACAATTTTATAATTAAATCCTACATGCAAAATATGACATATTTTTGTATTTTTATTAATTTAACAAATAAACATGCACAGACAAATACAAATAATTATTCAAAAATATCACAAAATTGCACATCAAGGAAAATCATTTTATTTTTGAATTTTTTGGGAGTAATTCTCATATAGGGCAAAAATCACGTGCTTACAAACACACCTACTTTTACCCATTTGGAAAAGTAATCAGTTAAAACCAAAAGGAAGCGTATCTTACCTCGCCTTGTTGGGAGGGGTCCGATGATATCCATCCACCATTTTATGAATGGCCATGGAGAGGTGACGGAGTGCAGGAGTTCCCCTGCCTGATGTATCATAGGGGCGTATTTTTGGCATTGCTCACATTTTTTGACGTAATCTGCGACCTCTTTTTTTAATAGTGGGCCAGTAGTATCCTGCACGAATAAGATATTTGACGAGGGCCCGGTTGCCTGTATGGGCACCGTAGTGGCCTTCGTGTACCTCTTCGAGCACACGCCTCATCTTATTTGGTCCAAGGTATTTGGCCAAAGGACCACCGAACGTCCTTTTTGTAAAGGTCGTGGTTTATGAGGCTGTACCTGGCAGTTTGTATGCAGAGCTTTTTGGCTTCTTTTTTATCTTGTGGGAGTGCTCCCTCCTACAGATATGATATGACGCGATTGTGCTAGTCCCAAGTTAAATTTATAGAATGTACCTCGACTTGGTCTATTGATGAGTGGAGGAGGGTGACCACGTTCTCCTTGGTAATATTTTTAGTTGCTGCTGCTAGCTTGGCGAGACCGTCCGCTTCGATGTTTTGTGCTCGCGGTATTTGGTCGAGTAGACATTCGTCGAATTCTGGCAGCAGCTTGTGGGTTTCGGTCTGGTATTTTTGCAACCTCTGCTCCTTAACCTGGAAAGTCCCAGTAACTTGGTTTATGACGATTTGAGAGTCACAACGGAGGATCACTCGTCGAGCACCATACTTGAGGGCCAACCTCAGTCCCGCAATTACAGCTTCATACTCGGCCTCATTATTAGTCATTTTAGGGCATCGTATAGATTGGCGAATTACTTCGCCCATTGGGGCTTCGAGTACGAGTCCCAGTCCAGATCCTGACGCGTTGGATGCGCCGTCGGTATAGAGGACCCAGAGGTCGGGTCGTTCAGGTGAAGTGCGAAGCGCTTCTTGCTCAACTTTAGGTAATATTTCTGCATTGAACTGCATTTACCACGACTTTGGAGACAGCTAGGTAGAGTAGGAAGCACTCGCCTGGATCCTCTTTGGCGAGTAAAGGTGGTGAGGACAAGTATGCTTTCAGTTTCCTTAGGGCGTCGATACATTCTGAATTCCACTGAAGTCCATTGTCCTTCCTTAATACATTAAAGAATTTATGGCATCTATCTGATGACCGTAAGATGAACCTCGATAGGGCGGCTATCCGTCCTGTCAATTTTTGTACTTGCTTTTTGCTGGTCAACATTTTGGGTATTCCTTCGATGGCCTTAATTTGTTCTAGGTTGACCTCGATGCCTCTTTGTGATACCAAGAAACCAAGGAACTTACCCGAGGTTACGTCGAAGGCACATTTTTCGGGATTTAGTTTCATGTCGTACCATCTTAATATGTCGAAGGCTTCCTTCAGATGATCGATATGATCTTATTTCCTTTTTGACTTAACCAGCGTGTTGTCGATGTAGACTTTCATATTTTTACCGACTTGGTCTTTGAACATCTTGGTGACCAACCTCTGGTACATTGCCCCTGCATTCTTTAGTCCAAACGGCATGACCTTATAACAATACGTTCCTCGGTGAGTCATGAAAGTGGTTTTCTCCTGGTCTTCTTCTTCCATGAGGATCTGGTTGTAACCCGAGTAGGCATCTAAGAAGCTTAACAACTCATGTCCTGCCATTGCATCGATGAGCTGGTCGATATGTGGCAATGGAAAGGAGTCTTTTGGGCATGCCTTGTTTAGGTTTCTGAAATCCACACACATCTGCCACTTTACGTTTTTCTTCTTTACCATCACCACATTGGCAACCCACTGGGATATTTTGACTCTCGGACGGAGCCATTGGCAAGCAACTTATCGATTTCTTCGCTAACAGCTTCGTTGATTGTGCCATTGAACTTTCTTCTTATTAATCTTACTGGCGGGTATAAGGGGTCGACATTTAATTGTGTGTGGCGATGTCTTTTGGGATGCCTGGCATATCTACATGGGAGAAGGCAAACATATCGGCATTATCAGTCAAGAATTTATGAAACTTACCTGATTCCAAGAGGTTGTGCCCAATATAAACCTTTTTGTGCTGCCGTTGCTGTCTAATGGGTCGGGATCAAGATCCTCTATCGTTGACTCAGATGCTTCCACGATGTTGGGGTCCTTGATAACGTCTGTCTGTATATTAAGTTTGGCTCCCGACATCTCTGATTGCTATGCTTCCGCATTTGCCCCTTTTAGTTGCTGGGTGTGGGCACAATCATGGGCGATGCGATAACATTCTTGCGCGGTGCGTTGCTCGCCTTGGATGTTGAATACCACCCATGGAGTAGGAAACTTGATCACTTGATAGAGACTGGACGGGACCGCTCACATGGCATGTATCCACGAGCGCCCTATAATGGCGTTATAGGCTGTTTCTTGGTTCATGACTTGAAACATCGTTTCCAAGGTGACTCCTCCGACTAGAAAGGGTAGCACAATCTCTCCAGAAGTCCGCTCAACTGCATTATTAAAACCTGTTAGCGTTATGCAGCGCAATATTATTTTGTCTTCGAGTCTCATCTGTATGAGGACTCGAGGATGGACAATACACGCGCCGCTCCCGTCATCTACCATTATTCTTTTTACATCAGTATCTGTAATACGTAAAGTGATAATAAGAGCATCATAGTGAGGGAAAGACAAACCGTCGGCATCTGACTTATCGAAGATGAAACTATCTTCGAGGTCATCATACCGTTCATAGGTGATCGATCGTTTGAGTTTTTGTGTGGTGGTGAACTTACATGATTGATTGCTGCGCTATCACCCATGTCGATGATCATCTGTGTAGTGCAAGCGGGAGAAGGTGATTTTGGAGGTCCTTGGGGATGTTCGCATCCGCGAGCGAAGTTAGCCCCTCCTCGATCGCTTAATAATTTTTTCAAGTGTCGCTAATTTAGCATTCACACTACCTCATGTCGCAGTCCTATGCAATCTTCGGTTTTGTGACCCCTTTCTTGGTGAAATTCGCAAAAAGCGTTTGACTTCCGAGTGTTGGGGCCTGACCTCATCTTTTGCGGTCATTGCACATTTGTACCGAGTTTCTCTAGTGCATACACTATTTCTAAAGGAGAAACACAAAAATTATGAGCAGATAGGAGCGGAGGCATACATTTCTCATGTCGATATTGTGCTGTATGTCAAGAAGGAGCATCCGTTTGCCGCGGTGGAGGCAGAATAGACTTCCTGACGTAGGGCTAATGCCTTTCTTGGCCGAGACGAGGCCCCGACTGATCTCTTCGACCGTCGTTGCGATGATCTTTCCTTGCTTCAGTTTGAACTGACGTCAACCATTGGGTCGGACCGTTGAGGTCGTCCTCATCGACTCTTACCTCGGCGCAGTAGGCGTTATGGATTTCTTCCCAAGTGGTTGGAGGGTATTTCATGAGCCTGCTTAGCAATTTTCTGGTTGCTCTCGACCCGTTCCTGTTTAGTCCATTCTGGAAGGCTGCTACTGTCATTCCCTCTGACACATTCGACAAGCTCATTCTCACCCTGTTGAACTGAGCTAAGAAGTCCCTGAGTCCCTCGCCGTACATCTGTCTTACGGCAAATATATCGTTTACCCTGGCTTCTGCCTTTTTGGCTCCTGCTTGGGCGGTGACAAATTTGTCTGCCATTTCCTCGAACGTTGCTATCGAGCGTGCTGGTAGTTGAGAGTACCATGTCAGGTCTCCCCCTGTTAGGGTTTCGCAAAACTTTTTCAACAGTACCGATGGTACCTGCTCTTTTGAAAGATTGTTACCTTTTACGGCTGTGACGTAGTGGATGATATGATCTTCTGGATCGGTAGTACCATCATATATGTTTAGGTAGGGTGACATTTTGAAGGTCTTTGGAATGGCGTATGGGGACGCTTCTTCGTTGTATGGTTGCTCGATGAATCGACCAACATCGCATTTTGGCAACAACTTTGGGGCACCTGGTATTTTGTCAACCCTCTCTTTGTGTTCCTTCATTTGGTCACGGAGTGCCTTATTCTCATTTTCCATCTCCTCCATTTTCTTTAAAACGGCTACAAGCATATCATTACCCGCATCGTTAGCAACATGAGTGTT